AGTGGATGCTGGAATTGTATTTTTCAGCTTCAGCAGGAACCAAAACAAAGCAAACCAATGACAAGCTGGCATGTAGCACAGTGATTACGCCTCTATTATTCTCCAGATATGTCTTAGTGTAAGCAGTAATCTCCATGACGCTCTGGGTGACAGATCATCAGGATGACGTGACAGATCATCAGGACAAGCTTATCATTTTTCCCTCTCTCTGTGCAGAAGTGAGCCTGATTATGTCCTGCTTCCTAGTGTACCTGTTCATTTAGACCAGACATTTCCCTGCAAAGGACTAAAACGAGATCTGGCACCAAGGCACCAACAGACAATCCAAGATGGCAGCTCTTAATTAGCCAATCATCCTTGGCTGCACTGTTGTCCCTGCTCCGTGCAGCCTTATAGAACGTGGCGTGTGACAACGGCAGTCTCATATTTAGTTGGAGTGGCTTGGCGGCGCACAGCATATTTGCGCGCTGAAGAGGAGCGCTGCTGAGGGACGCTGAGGCAACTCCTGCTTCTAATGATCCTTTCAATTAGAGAGGAGCCCTGAGGCGCTCGCCCAGCTGCCTGTTTAAAACACCTACGTCTCTTAACGCCTGTCTGGGCCGCCGCACTGTGCGGCGGCATTTGAGTCAATATTATTTTACAGACTGCCTCCCCATCTATTATTGAGTAAATTGAGCCATCAGTGTCTCTGGACATTTTGGGCCTTAAATGAAATCTATTTGCTAATGCCTGGAGGAGGTGTGCGTTTGATGCAGTGAGGCTGGTTATGGAGGATACACGGGAGGAGGGCTCGTTATTAGTTAAGAGTTGAAAAATCTTGTTCAGTAATGACATCAAGAATGAAGACGTCCCTTAAGCTGACTTGATTTTAGATTATTTAAAGATATATATATATATAAAGAAAATAGGATTTCTTAAGCCCTAATCCTTCTCCATACTTAACATATTAGATCTAAGGGAGATTTCTGGGTAATCACAGAGAGCCTCTTCCCTACGCCTTGACCTCAAGCTGATGAATCAAGAGTGTTAATATAAACAACACCTTTGCAATTCAGCCCTCCTGCCCATCAGCTGGCCGTTAGTGCCTTCTCACTATGCAGGAAAACTCTCCTTAGTCCCCATCGATCGGCCAAGAATCAATGCTTTTAAAAGCCTTACACACTCTTTAGTTACGAGCAAAAGCGTGCATGTTGTGCTCTGACCTGGCCATATTGATTAGGAGGAGGAGGTGATGAGAGGAGAGAGAGAGAGACAGAGAGTGTGTGTGAGAGAGAGAGAGAGAGAGAGAGAGAGAGAGAGAGAGAGAGACAGACTGCGCTTTTCTCACACTCATTCTGCCATTCTCTCGTTATTTTTCACTGGCCAGAATAGCCGTTTCCATTAACTGTGTATATTTCTCTCTTGTAAAATGTTGCTTAATGTCTCATAATTGGTCTTTATCACATTGACTTTCCTGTGATACAGACAAAACCTTAGAAGAAAATGATAAATTCATGTCAAAGTCATGCTGCCGGTGGTGCTGAAAATAGCTTTTGAGTGCTTTGTCCTCTGTCTGGTCTTACAATTCGGTTCTCAATTCGACTTGCTCTTTCATGACATCACTTTCATAAGACATATTCCAAAAATGCCCAGGTTCCCTCCAGAACACTGGAACAGACCCCACCTCATACAATTTAATACCTCATACAATCTGACCTGACTGTAATGGCTAAGATACTGCCAGACTGGATTTCAGAAAATGCCATCACACAAATAAAAAAACTGGTCTTGTGTGGTTGAAATGTTTGCACTGTTTTTTCGTGATTATATATCTCTATAAAATATCTTGCTTAAACTGTTTTCAGGTTTTTATGATTAGTGTGTGGGCCTCTTCTGGACTAAATCCAATTAAATTTTTATGACCTGTGCACCTAGAAAACAATAGTTTGGACAGGTTTTTCTTAGACTTGGTGAGTTTGCACTGGAATACTGTCTAAGTTACACTGTGAGCAAAAGGGTACTGTACAGGTACAAACAATGAAAATATACCTTCAAAGGTACAACAATGGTATTAAGGTCCAATTCTGCACCATAAATGTGAAAGGTACACTACATTCAGTTTTTACTTCAGGTGCTCCTTTTCATAGCTCTTTTTAAATAGAAAAGTACAATAAAAAGCCTGGAGTCAGAACAGGGGATATCAATCAATGAACCTTAGAAAATAATTGCTATAGAATATAACACAACAGTTATGCTCCCTAACTAAAGGTACTGAAGATGTACCCTTGAGGTTATTTACCGAGTGACTTTTTCTGAGAGTGTACATCATCCATACTTGATGAATGTGAACTATAGATTGAAATTATTAAATTTTGTTATAATAGCCCCCCTTTTATCTTCAGATTTACTAATATCTTTATCATTGGGGTTAATATGACCCCAGTAATTTAAACCTTCAGAAAATAATTTTAATAAAATTGTATCCAAGTTTGTGTGTCAGGTACTTTGTTTCTTTGTAGAATTATTTATTTAGTTTCCTTGATGTCGATCATTTATTTAGAGATAAATGGCTTCAAATTGAGCCCAGAGATAATAGGAGGGATAGGGGCAGTTCTGTCCAATAATTATAGGCAAAAATGCTGGTTTGGTATTTGAATCAAAGGAATCATGCTTAATTATGTACAGTAATAGAGTGGTAATAATTAAATAAGTGGATATAAATGTATCACATCTCTTTATTATGAAACTCTTGTTGTTGTGCTCTTATTAGAGCTGGGGTTTTCATTCCTGACATTTGCAGCTTCTGATAAATGCACCCACTCTGAGTGGAGTCTGTCTCTGAAAGTAAAAAAAAAATCTTTTGGAAGAAGAACCTTTAGTGGATCGACACAAATGGTAAGCTAGTAAAAGGAGCAGTTTGTTATGATTTGGCGTGTAGTATCAGTATGAGCGTATATGCTCGGGCTTCCTCCATTACACTCCTTAGTAACCGTGGAACTGAAAAATAGCTCCTCGCCATGTGTGTACACCAGACTCTAACTTTGATTTTACCAAAGGGATTATGTCTCTTTCTAAGTCATTGCTGCTTCTTTTCATGGCTTTGTGAACAGAAAATGCGGTATTACTTCTGTAAGCCATGAGGCCTGAGACGATTCTCTGATGTTTGTTGCTGTTGGACCCTGTGGTTCCAGTGCTAATAGGGAATCTGAGCTAATCCCATCTTTCTTGCATAGAGTTTACTAAATTTTGAATTTACACGTTTAATCCCTTTTAAAATGGTCTTTGAACATTTTTAGCCCCTTACTGTTGCTGCATTGATGGAATATGGCAACACACATTTCGTAAGAAGATGCTTTATGAAGCATAAATTTAATATCCCGTCCACTTAACTGTGTACTGTAATCCCTCCATTATAAATGTGCACTCTAAGTATTAAAACTCCTGCTTTCTCCATGAAATTATGGACAGAATATTCAAGGTATCTGGTGCTTTCTTTGAGGGAACAGATACTGCACTTAAAACCAAATTCAGGAACATACAGAGCAGTCTTTGAAGAATATGATGATAGCCTAATCCTTACCATGCTGAAATATGTAGAATGCAGAATGAAGATCCACACAGTAAAAGTGAAGAGGCCGGGTTCAGAATTGCATGCTAAGTTGGAGGCCACATCCACAATGAGTTTTAGTAAACCAGACCAAAGCGCACAGCCCCAGTGCTCCTTCACTTTAACTTTGTCACCTAGGCAATTAACTCTGTTGCTGATGAGAAAAGAAATAGACCACATAAAGCCCTCTGGATCTGTCAGGGTAAACTCTTTCTGTTGAATCAACAAAGTCACTATTGTTTCGTTTGTTAGCACTCCAGCAGGTCAGGTCAAAACAAACTGTATAATTTATTGGCCACACAAAATCTTTCTGATCTATTATTGAATAGTAAAATGGCAAATAAAGATTTAATTAACCCATTTTAATTCTATGTACAGTTGTATGTTGCAAAAGTTTGAACACCCTGGGTCAAATTAATATTTTGTTGATTTTCAAAGTGAAAATAGGTTAACATATTCTCTACAGGAAACATAATTATATATGGCAATTTTCTGCAAATCCTTAAGTGCACATTAACATTTCGGAAAAAAAAACAAACAAACATGAAATACAAAATGTGCCATAACTTTTGCACATGCCATTTTATGTTTTTTCTCCACCAATGTGTTAAATTCAGCAAATAAATAGTATTTTTTTTATTAAAATGTGCAGAATTGTGTTCTGTGTAGAGGATGTGTTCACTTAGTTTCACTTAGAAAATCAACAAAACATGTCATTTGATCGGGGTGCCCAAACTTTTGCATACAACTGTATTGCCAATAAAGGAATACTCCACCATTTTTCAACCTAATCTCTATCTGCCTCGACTGTAGCCATAAAGAACAACTTTGATACATTTCCCTGTACTTACTAAAAGAAAGAAAACCCATTGGCTCAAAACATAATTCATAATTAATAACAGAAGTCGATAGGCAGCTGCTGTAAATAGAGACAGGAAGGAAAAAGCAGGAATATTCCTTTAAAAAAGGCAATATCTGACCCAATGTAACCTCATGATTTTACCCAAAGACGTTCATAAGTCCTGTGAGAAAAACAGTAAGATGGGGACATTTTATGTTCTTAGACTAAAGCATAAGTTCTGTGAATGGCAGTCATTCAGCACGTGAATATCCAGCAGTGAATCAAACCCAAACAGCGTTAATGTGGAATCTGAACAGTTAGTTCGCTTTGGCCTCTTGCACAGCTCCTCTTTTACACTGACCGGATTAGCGAAGAACCAATATTTTTACTTCATATAATCTCATAAAACTCCCTTTTGAATACAAAAAGCTTCATGTACACAGATGTGCAGTCATGCAGGCAGGCTGCAGTGAGCCCCTCCTGCTGACCCCCCTCCTCAAAGCCTTTCACCGCAGTCTGATCCGCAGAGGATCCCGCTTCTCCCGCCACAGAGGCTGAGGCAGCAGACTGAGGCTATTTGACGTTCGCCGTGCCCATCCTGTGCTCGAAGGCAGATTCTCTGCGCGTGTCCGTGGCTGTGGGGGCTCTGAGCGCGCTCTCTCTCAGCACCGCTCCCGCTCTTAGTCCGCTGGCGCGGGGCTGGCCGGGCACGGGGCTCGCGCTCAAGTGGCTCAGCGCGCTGTAGTTCGTGAAGGCCGGGTAGAAGGCCGCGGGAGCGCAGTACAGGTGCTGCACGCGGGGAAAGGGGCAGTGGTGCGCGCGGGGGGGCGATAAGGGCGCTGGGCTGTGAGTGCGGACGCAAGGCTGCGCGCGCTCGCTGTTCCCCTTGTCCGACGTGGCCATCTCGGCCAGTGACCACAGTTTGGGTTTGGGGGGCGGGTTTGGGGGCTGCGCCGGCTCTGCGGGCCCGGGAGGCTGTCCTGGAGCCGGAGGCTCAGGGGAGGGGGCGGTGGGCAGCGGGGACGCACGTTTTTCCCGCTCTGGAATACGGTCCGCTTCATCAGAGGGTCTTTCAGTGTGACTCTCACACGTGATGGAGCTTGGACTGATAGGAAGACCACCTGAGAGAGAGAGACAGAGAGAGGAAAGGAATGAGTGCACTGTACAGGACGAGATAACAACACTAACGACAACATTAATAACATAAATATTATTATTATTATTATTATTATTATTATTATTATTATTATTGTTGTTGTTGTTGTTGTTATGCTAGGTGCCTAATAATAACACTAACAAGTGGTATAAATGAATAGGCTAAGTAAACAATAATAACAACAATAATAATAATAATAGTGTATAGTTGATAATTTGTAGAAATAATAATAATAATAATAACAATAAAGAAGAAAAAGAAACAGCAACAACAGTATTAATCATGCCCTTTCTAAACCGCATGTGGTCTGAAAGATGTATGGTTACATTAATCTAAACATAATAATAATAATAATAATAATAATAATAATAATAATAATGCCCATCCTGTTCTCTCACCTAACTCCTTGCTGGTCTCAGTGGCTTTGAGTGGCTCGTCGTCCTCCTCGTGCTTCTCCAGGTCGATGTTCTCCTCCTCCTCCTCGTCCTCGCTCCGGTTCCGGGGGATCCACGTCATCTTGTTCTCCTTCTTCAGCCTCCTCCTGGCGTTGGCGAACCAGGTAGACACCTGCGTGAGGGTCATCTTGGTGATGATGGCCAGCATGATCTTCTCGCCCTTGGTGGGGTACGGGTTCTTCCTGTGCTCGCTCAGCCAGGCCTTCAGCGTGGCCGTGGCGTCGCGCGTGGCGTTTTTGCGGTAAGCGGGGTCCAGTGGCGTGAAGGGGCCCAGCGCGCCGCCGTACGGGGGGAAACCCACAGAGCCCCCCACACCTGGGCCGGGGTCATACGGAGAGCCCTGCGGTCACACAGAGAGAATTCAGCACAAAGACCAGCACAGCAACAACTAAACAACCAAAACTCTGTCACCTCACACACACACACAGACAGCATCAGATGGAGGAAACTCTTTCTTTCTTTCTTTCTTTCTTTTTTGATAAATAAAGCTCAGGCCTTGCCTGCACAGAAGTGCAATAGATTACGCAACAAATACCTCTCTTTTTTAATTCGACCAACATTAAACCATTTTAAAAATCTCAAACTTAGTAATCAGTAGTTTAGTATCATTAAAATGTTTCTCCCACGTGTTCGGCTTTAATAAAGTGTTTATCTGCACATTAGTGTGTTTATAGTGCAGCCTGATGGCACCTTATTTAATAAGAGCCTTGAAATGACACCGCGCTGAGCTGCTCTTCACTCAGGCCTGTAAAATAAATGAAATTTTACGGAAGTTTCACCAGTGCAGCCAAACGAGCAGCTCATTTCCATACAGCAGCACAGAAACGTAGAAGCACTTTTACTTTTCCCTTAAAACATCCAAAAACAAGTGCTCCAACAGCCGCTGAGAGCGCCGCTTTAGCTGAGCTGTCCTGCTCGCTCTGAGCGCGTCTGGCGCGCCTCTGCGCTGAAGATCGTTCTGCTAAAAGTGCAGGAAGTTGCCGAAGCACTAAAACGCGCAGAGCAACAGCGAAAATGAAGAAGCATGACAGTGTTTGTTTCCAGCAGGCAGTGCTGAGGAGCTCCGAGTGATCAGGCGCGCTGTAGTTCACTGAGAGCTGTGAACACTCACCACGAAGGCGGACAGCGGCGCCGGTTCCGCTCCGTACTGGAGCGAGCTGAAGGGCGCAGGGCTTGTGAAGGCTGTGGATCCCGCGTACGGAGCGAAGGCAGATCCGGAGGAGCACGAGGAGGAGGAGGAAGAGGACGATGATGAAGAAGATGAGGAGGACCTGCCCAGCTCCTCGGCGCGCGCTCCGTACGGCGGGGGGCAAGAGTAGAGGGCCAGGGGCGCGGCGGGCTGGTACAGGAAGCCCTGAGGATACGCCATGCTGAAAAAAGTCGCGGATCTCCCTCAGGTCCGCCTGGACACAGCGCGCTCACATCGGCGCTCAGCTCGGAGCTCCGCACGCTTCAACCGGGAGTGGAGAACGGAAAGCGGTCAGAGCGCGAAAGCGTCTCGGCTACTCTCCGGGTTTCCTTCAGGTCCGCTCCGCGCGTCGCTCTGCACTCATCATCCCGGTTTCAGTCGGAGAGAGAGAGAGAGAGAGAGTGGGGAGAGAGAGAGAGAGAGAGAGAGAGAGAGAGAGAGAGAGTCCAGGAGGGAAGAGAGGAGATTCCTTGCTGATACGCTGCAACTCTGTCTCTCTCTCTCTCTCTCTCTCTCTCTCTCTCTCTCTCTCCATCTCTGTCACACACACACACACACACACACACACACACTTAGGGACCATAAACAAACAATCACCAGTAGTCAAGTTAGAATGATAAAAATACTAACAATCAGTAACAAATAAATTAATATGAATTTTAATTCATTTAAAGCAAGTAATAATAATAATAATAATAATAATAATAATAATAATAATAACACCAACTATTGTTGTTATTGTTTAAACCTTAAAGTAAAATTAGGTTTTTAACGGTTAAACTGAGCTCCAGCATTTCCAATCCACCAAAAACCGCCGTTGTTAGTATTACAGGGTGAGTTTAAATGTACTGTCAGTCACTCTGTTAACTCTCTCCCGGCTCCGCTGTGGAATCTAATGTTACATCATTAGAATGTATTGATTAGAATTAGAATGCGGCAGTTTAAAAACACGTGCGCGCGACCCTGACTCCTCTGATGGAGGCTGCGCTCAGAGAGTGAGTGTCAGTCCGTGTGTGTGTGTGTGTGTGTGTGTGTGTGTGTGTGTGATTAGGGAGATGGGCTGGAGCAGCAGAGGACGCAGAAGAGCTGATCCTCCGCGGAGAGAGCTGAAGGGTGTGTGATGAGCATGGCGGGCCAGGAGCTGAAGGTGGTTTGTACAGAAGAGGAGGAGAAGCAGAGAGGCCGGAGAGTGGAGGAAGAAGAGACTCAGGAGGAGTGCAGCGCTACCGAGGCTGAAACTCAGGGAACACACGCGCTAACAGGTAGGCCTACAACTTACCGCTGCTCATTCTCTTCTCCATTTTCAGCTGTGCTGTCTTTACTTCAGTAACTGCGGCTAGGCTAAGCTGTTAGCTCCATGTGACTCGCTCTCCTGCTTTCCACGCCCACAGCGGCTAAAGGCTGTTCAGAGGCCCAATTCTGGTACTTTGGTATGAGTATTGGTATGTTTCAGAGTGAAACAGAGTCCGTGTTTGTTTCTGTTTAGTTTTCAGTGTGTTATGTAAGTAGCCATCTGTGAAGGGTTTTGGTTCCTCCTGCACTCCTGAGCTATTTAAATGTAGCTGCACGGCGGTAACTAATCTAATTAGTGACTTCTATGAATAGGTGCCAATGCTTAGCAGCCATGCTGAGAGCAGAGTAAGGTCACGCGCTGTATCACCGAGAGCGGGGACACACTTACAGTAAACTGGAGGAAGCCAAATGTCGTGAGCTTTAATCACTTAGAGCTGCTCTTGTCACTGTAATTATAGCAGCCTTGGAAAGGAAACTCACTTTAACTTTTGATACTTGTTTGCCAGTTATATATGAGCTGTTATTAATGCATAAAGATGGAGGTTTTGTTATGTGTGTATTCATTTTGCTATGTTTTTCTTTGTTTTGTTTTATTTCATTCATATTTTACATGCCACTCTCTCAGACCAGCAAGAGCCTCCCTGTAGTAACAAGGATGAGGTAAGTTAAAACTGCAGAAAACTGAAAAGTAATATTTTAATATTACTATAATAGTAATAATAATATAGTTAATTAATTAGAATATTTTATAATAGAAAGTTTTGTATTGTCATTATTTTAAAGGGCCCAAATCATTGAAAAACACATTTTCCTCCCTTTTTAAATTTTTTTTTTTAGATTTTGATGTAGTATGAAAACTTTGCAAGAGTTTCAAAACGTACCCTTCACTCCACAGTCCTTTTATAGCAACTAAGATGCAGAAACAACCCATTAAATGCATTTGTGTTGTCAGAAAAAAACAATGCATTTACATATATCCAGCAAGTCAGCCTACAGAAGTTTAGCTGTGCCCATTCTATGAAGTTATAAGGAGTGTTTAGTCTAGACTGCCACTTAAATGAAATGCAATATAGGGCGCCCAATCAGAATAGAGGTTATTTACATATATCAGTCTTACCAGGCATGGTAACAAAATTAAGGGATAAAAAGAGCTTGGAAAATGTTCATGTAACATTAATTACAGCTGTTGTTGCCACATAAACTCACACACTTCATAACTGGACCTCAGGGGAAAACTGTAGGATATGGACCCTTTAACAAACACACACAGAAAAATACATTAAAGCACATGCTTGCATTAAAAATCTGAACAGTGCCCATATTTATTAAGATAACACACAATGGTTGTGTTGAAAAGAACCTAAAATCTGTTGTCCCTATCAGGAAACAAAGAACTTTGTGTGGGATTACGAATCAGAACTCCTGATTTATGATTCTGTTATCATTTCTGTTGAAAACCCACTCCCAAACAAAACAAGCAAACAAAACAAACAAAAAACCACATCTTGTTTCCAAACACATTAACCATGATTGATTTATCAGTGACAGGCCGCAGGTAGCATTGATCTTTCTGAAGACTCATAAAACACATAATTTACAGCCATAACCGCAGGGTGGCATCAAACTGTTAGCACTCCTTGGAGTGGTAGTCTCCTCTCTGTGACAAGACAAATGATTCATAATGTACTTAGCTGCTGTAGAGTATACTTTTATTTGAGAATGAGTCAATAACCCCAGTGGCTAAATGAATATTGATTGAATATAATGAAGCTTGAATAATGGGAAAATGCGCAGCGCTCAAGAACGCCCGTCCTTCTCTGCTCAGAGCATGCTTTGATGCATAGCTTTGAGTTCAAGGATGAAATGATGCAGGCTGTAGTAACATCATTAGAAGCTTCGGCGAAGTTGCTTTGCTCATAAAGTACAGCGCGTCTGTGATTAAACACACACCATAACCTCCATTCTCCATATTATGCATTTGTAATTATGCACAGTGAAATGACGCACACACTTATCTTGTTTATACATGTGTTTTTTATACATTTAAAGCTAAGTTAGCTGTTCTGAGGCACATCTGATAAGTCAGTAAATCACTAATACCCTCCGGGACATTTGTTGCTTCCTTTTAAACTGTTAAACTGGGATTGATGCAGATCTACAGGATTCTTTAAATGACAGGTAATGGGGTTTATGTTGTTTTCTTAAAGGAATCCCCACCTTAAATGAGTATTAACTGAAGGCAAAGAACAGAGATTTGCATCAACCAGTTTACTTCCTGTGTGTTTATATTTGCTCAACTCTCTTTAATCCTGCTTGGTATTTCCTGGCTAGAGACCCTTCTGAGCTGTGTCCTCTTTAAGACAGTTGAAATGAAGAGCCAAGAAAAACCCGAGCGTTATCTGCTAACCAAGTCCCTCTGCTCAAAGAGTGATTTTCCCGTGGTGTGTTTTGACCCCAGGTGGATCTTGTGGCTTTGCACTCCTTAGTATAGTCTGAACTGTTGTTGGTATCACATGTCGCTAGATGGAAATGAACTCTAAAAAGCTGCCTCAACTAATCAGCATGGATTAACTAAAGTGTCTGAAGCAGCTGTGGCGTGGAAATTGTCGCACTTTTTCAGGTTTCTGAACCCTCAGTCCAATTAGTGTTTAGAGGCAGCTTGAAATAAGCATTTATGAATGCCTGTGTACGTCACATCATGCCATTACAGATACTTCACGATGTTATGAAGTCATGTTTAAAGCGGAATTCTACTGAATTTTTCCAGAATTTCTGAATAAATCAATCATTAGGATGTAAACAAAGTCATTCAAAATCTTTTGATGTGAAATAGTCCAATCTAGAGAAACTTGCTGTGTCAGAACTATTCACAGTGGTGATGATTGGAACCAGACATCTGAACAGTTTAATGCCTGATGCCTGAGACACTGTTTTACAACAGTTTTGAGAACTTTTTGGCCTAAAAGATGTATAATTTGAGGTATGTGCAGCATATCATAAGGCAAAGTAGTCAGAAATTATTTTACCCTTTACATTACATATAAAAACCTCAGGAGACATGTAGATTTACTGGTAAATAAAACAGTTATATTTGCATTGTAGACGTTGCCATCCCTGGTTCCTGTCACCACCACTTTAAAAAATCTGAATCTGTAAGTTTCCCCATAATGCACCATTTCTCATTAAACCACTCTGAATGACTCTGTTTGCCTCTCAAAGACTAAATTATGCAGATATTTTGAAAAATCTGTGGACTTCCCCCTTAAATGCGTTGAAGTTAATATATGCTTTGTTGCCAAAATCAGTGCTGGCCAAAGCTACTGGTTTGAACTGTCACTGGTTTGTCACACTTGAATTGCATTTCATTTATATAACCAAGATTTCTTTAACTTTCATAGAGCATTGCCATTGATTACATTAGCAGCATTGAGTTAAATAGGTCTGAAATGACTCCTGTGTAAATAACATTCAGAAAGCCTGAAATGCTTTCATCCATTCACACCCTAATTAGCCATAGCCTAAAGAGGGCGACGTGATCAGTGGCCACAGGCGGACAGCATTCCTAATTAATTACAAAAGCTTGAGTTACACTTACAGTCATTATGGCCAGCAAAACAATTCCTCTCCTGTTACAAGTGCTTGTGTAACGAATACCCTTCAGGCGTAGATGTTTAGAGTAAGTTGAATGGACGGACGTTTCTCCGAGACATTCTTTTCTAATGAAAGAGATGACATGTCAGTGGAAATAGAGGAGAGAACAGCTGTGACATGAGCAAAGCACTGTGGGACATTTTAATGTGACGACTCGTTGGTGGGAGCTGAATGTACCACAGGACTTGCGCTCCAGGTCCAGTTTCAAGTTTTCATTGCCTTCCAAGAGGAACTCATTTGGAGAGATTTCTAATTAGGGCTTTCTGCTCTGTGGTGGAACTGATTGACTGACTGAATGAATAAGTATTTGTGACGTGCCCATCCTTTTTCCTTTTTCAGTCTTCTGGCAGTTGTTACATAAAACCTGCTTTTTCTATGAGCATGAGTTTTAAAGTGTCTAGTGACTATCCCACTATTAGAAATATCCACTGTTGCTGCTATGGTCTTAATGAACATGACCAGCACTATAAATGGCATGAGCCCCTGCGGGATTTCACTGCCCAAATGAAGTGCAGCGGAGGTTGAGCCTGGACTGAAGTGTGACAGATGAACTGTGGTTAATGGCCACTTACAGAGAGGTCTCATCTCCACTGGGCCATGCATGCACATCAGCAGGTGACTAAAGGAGCAGCTCCACTTGTCAAACTGTCCCATTACTGCCTAATGAAGAGTAATCATGCTGCTATTGAGTGAAATGTTATTCTTGGCTAAAGGGAATTTGTGCTTGTCAGCCTGTTTTAGATTAGGGCTCAGTAAGAGGAGATTATGCATTTATGGTTATATCAGTGTGAAGCTGTTGTGGTAACATAAATGTCTCCCTTGGCTGCATGGCCAGAACTTTAATTTGACATAATATCCTTAGGGGTTTAAAATAGTTTATAAGGCAATGGTGGATTTTAACTATATTTATATGTTAAACACACAAAGTTTCAGTACACTCACATATATCCTGTGAAAATGTTACTCACAGCATATTATCTTATCCATTGACAGGAGTGTCTAGCCTGCCAGTCAGTATCAGTCCCTACTGAGACCTCAGAACATCAGCTACTCTCAGGTGAGTTAAACCTTCCAGCATGGACAGTCTGAACTTGAAATAGTAACCTTTAAGGTTTGAAATTAGTTAGTGAGTTACTGAATGATTTTAAATTGTATTTATATGTTAAATAAACAAACAAAATGTCAAATATAAGTATACTCACATATTTGCTTAAACAGACCAAAAAGCACAGCCAGTTGTTGAGCTCTTGACCCCAAAACAAACACTGGACTGCCCACATGAGTCTTCTCTTCATCTTGGAGTCTTAGGAGGAGACGAGGATGGAAAAAACAAAGTGCAGGGACCTGGAGGAAAGGATGATGGATTTGATTCTGCTGAACTGAACCAGAAGCAGGACCACAATGATCTGGAGGCTGTGGGGAGAGACCAAGTGCCAGAACAAAAGCAAGGGAACCAGGAGACTCCAAAAAACAAAGCACACTTAGAGAACATAGAAAACCAAGAGAGACAAACACCAGATCAGCATGACCAGGAGGGAGCTGTCCCAATCGTGATGGTCACCAACTTAGAAGAGGTGAGCAAAGCTGAATTTTCTGCCCCGTGTCTTCATTGCCTTTTAATGTTATTCATTCAGATTAGTGTTCAAAAATAACCATATATTTCTAATGGAGGCAACAATAGAATGAAGTAAGAATAAATTAAATAGAAGTTTTACTTTAATAATAAATTATATGAAGTGATAAAAACTATTTTATGTAGATAGTGTACCTAAATTTCTATCTTAAATATTCTTTTTTTTTTGTATTATTTGAACACATTATTTGCAAATCTTTTTAAACCTTAAAAAGAAGAATCTGCACAAAAATATGAATATAATGCAGGTTGTTATATGGCCTTTATGATTTCATGAACTATCATGTGTCTAAAAAAAGCTGTAAGAATTGTTCTCAATAGATAAGTTAACACCTGATTCAGCCACGGTTCATGGAAAATTCCTTTAAATCTCACATTCCTGTGATTAGTATTCATGCAGTTCGACTGCTTTATGCCACACTTCTCAAATCTGAGTGTTCTCTTTCTTCTTTTTTTTCACTTCAGAACTCTTTGTTTCTGTAACTCTTCAGTAGACCCCCACTCTCATGCATATTTGCAGTCTTTGTTCTTCGTCTAAATGTTATCTCTGATCATATGCGGTGCAAAGCTTGCCTGACAGTCTTTTTCTATTCTGAATCTGTTTCATCAAACCCCTCCCCAGCAAATGAAACCGTTCATCCCCTGAATGTGATATTGTCTGTATTTTTCAGATGCTGTAAACTAATTATGCATTCATTTCTTGGATAGAACTTCTTTGTGTCGAGTGTTGGTGAGAAGAGAGGGTGGAGGATCCGGTAATGCAGTTCCGGCTATTAGGGCGTCTTTTACACTCGCAGGGAGGTGATCGCACCAAGCTGTAATGTAATTGAGAAGTTTATGGAACAATGTAGAAATTTGAGTGTTGTAGGAAGTGCAGTCTAAACTTTGAGACCGTGAGACGGTAAGGCTGCACAACGAGGGCACACTTTATGCAAAATCTGATCAATAGTGTATTCGTGTGTCTGTCCTCCTTTTTCCTCTCCAAGGGTCCAGTATAAAGAGTAATGATAGCCATTGAGCAGGGGGAGATTGATGGCACAGCAGGCTGAGCTGAACACTCTAAAGTGCCCCTGAAGGAGCCAATAGATAAATCAGTTTAAGCCTCGGACCCCATTTAAAGAGGCCTTGGCAGGTTAATGTGATAGCCTCTCCAATACATTATAGTGCGCCCTCATTCAGGTGAACGGGCCCTCACTCCTCAGTGACCCACACTCACTGCGATCTCATTGTGTTTTTTTCATTTGCTCATCTGTATGTTGCCTCCGTGCTGATCTATACAGTTTCCAGCGCCATTGTGCATCAATTGATCCTAGGCTACATTTGATGAACATTATACAGTGTGGCAGCAGAAAGATGTGATGGATTTAGAATAGAAAACAAAACTTCCTACATTCTTAAAAGGTAAAGGTGTCAAGAAAGGTTCCTTGGAGTGATACTGTAGAAGAAGCTCTTTTGGTTCTACGTTTGGGAAAATGAGATGTTGGAGTGTGAACAGCCTCCACGTAATGTAAAGATTTTTCCAGGAATCATACAGCCAAGCCAAGAACTGTTTATAAACTTTTATTTTAATGTTTACGTTACAAAAAAAAAAATACTGAATCTTGCTTCAAGGGCCCATATCAAGGAAAACCAAATATTCCTTACTTTTTTTAAACAAATTAATATAAACATTGTAAAGTTTCAAAATGAACCATTCTTTACCCAGTCCATGGTTTGTATATGGAAAATGATAGGAAAAAAACATTTTATATTCATTGTTTCTGTGATGTCATGAACTCCTTTACATCTATTTACCAATTCAACCTTCATCAGTTGAGCTCCACCCATTCAATCTGAAGTTCTAAGGAGTGTTTGAATGCTTTTTGAGTGAAGCACAATACAGAACAGCCAGTACATACAGCTCATTTACATATATCAGTCTTAAAAGCACACTAAAAGCTTGTTTAATTCTAGAAGAGATAAAGAGTGGTTGGCGAAAATGGTCATGTAAAAGTGAATCATGTCTGTTTGTGGTACATAAAACTACACATATGTTGTAAGCGGACCTCAAAGGAAAGATTTAGTGCAAAATGTAGGATAGAGGGCTTTACTGCATATGTGTACATAAATAAAATACATCAACATTATTTTGTCTTTCAGTTTACATACTTTTAGCAGTAATGGTGTTGATGTAATACATTTTAGTACTGTGTAAATGAAGTGCACATTTGAATCAGTTAAGTTTGGTGCATTACTCTAGCTTCTGAGTGAAGTTCAAAGTGTTCTGAAAATTGTTCTCTGCTGATATATCTCAGAGCTCTGATCTATAGTTTTGGATTTGCGCTGAAGAGTGTAAGTGAGGCATGCAGCATAAATATACAGAGTGTAACTGACTTTCTAGGGTGATTGATCAGGGGTCCTGGGTAGTTTGTTTATTTCCAGCCATACTTACACACTTAAACCTGTTCAAGTTCAAACTTGAGCTTTTTTTTAAGAAGCGTAATGAACACAGGCTTACAACCAATGAATATGCGAAGACACGCGTACATGGGGAAATCTTTTTTCCCATACCTTTGCATGCATGTCTTGTTACATACTAGTAGGGAGCTCTTTGAGTAGGAGGGGCCAGTGTTCACCGAAGCCTTGCGCATATATATCGAATATTTGAATATCAGAGACACTCGTTTGCATCCAAATGAGTTCTGCTTGTCTGGCTGATGGACAATTTCAGCTTGACCCCTGCCTCTTTGTATGCAACCTACAGTTTACTGTCAAAAGAATCTCATTGTTTTCACCTCATTGTTGCGCATACCCTTGGCAACCCTGCATTTCTCAGTGTCATAAAAGTATAGATTTTGTCTCTAAATATAGTGTTTTGTACTCCAGTCACACCATTGTTTAGGTTCAGCTGTCCCTGTTCTGTTTTTCACTCCTGAAATGGCTAAAAGCTGAAGAAAAACAGATATTTAGGCTAAACTTTACTCTTTGAAAAGATGAGCAATTAATTTTTGTTTTTTTATTAGTTTAATTTGTTCAGCCGCCTCTCTTTTTAGGAGTTTGAAGACACCACCACACTTATTCAGATGAATTTAGGAAAGTGTCTTTTTTGTCCTCCTCCTCCTCCTCCTCTCTCCATATTTACCTCTATGGCATTACACATGCATAATGAATGGTAGAATATTAAAAGCAAACGCTATCTTATTTTCTTTGTTTGGAAAAATACTTATTAATGTGCAAATGAGTCAAGACACCTCACCTACTCAGTGCACACACAGGCGCAGAGCAGTTTAAACACAAACATCAGGCTCTGCGAAGGCTTGGACCCGGTGGGAAGAGGCAAGTAATGCAGTGGCGTTTAATTCGGTGACTGCTAGCCTATGACAGCCTCCATAACCCTCTGGTGTGTGTGCATGCTTACTCATCTGCAGCCTCTCCAAATGACTTACCCGATCACTTGTGAGAGAGGAGTGTATTTAAAAGCAATTGGCTCTTCAGATGAGAAATATGAAGATACCGATATCGTGCATAAAGTTATTTTGGACTCTCCGAGGAGCACTAAAGAAGTAATTCCCCTCGGACGGAGATACCCAGGAACTAATATGAATGCAAATTGGATTAAACGGCTGCATTAGTGTCTGATAAACAATTTACAGCTCTGAGGGCTCTGCGGGGATGGAGCCTGCGCTGCAGCGAGAGAGCTTTCACTCAGACTCCTGCGAGCAGGAGGATGCCAGTGAGAGTGCAGCGTGGAGCCTGTCCGCATAGTGTTAGTAATTAGAGTTGGGGAGTCAAATGTACCTGATTATTTCTGACAGTGTAAACAAGACCATGGCGTTTTAGCACCAAATTTAGTACAGGCTGAAATCAGTTCTAGTTGTATTCAAGCTTGTCTTCAAAACACTTAAAACTGCAGAAAGAGAAAAATAGACAAATATAAAACACTGTAAGCTGTATAATTTTAAACATGTTGTCATATTGCTGATTCTCAAAACTACATTATTTAGGTATTGCTTTTCTAGTTACCAAATAATTTTTAGTAATTGCTTAATAATATGCACTGAGATTAATAACTGAATCTTGCAGTTTAAAGATATAACCCTTAAATTATCAGGTTTATTACTTTCTAAGGCTTAATACTAAGTGAATACAAATCCATGCAAAAGTCAGTGACCTCCCTTCATTTATTTTCAGTCAAGTTATGCATTTTTACTGACAGAAAAAAACAGAAAACATATGTAACAGAAAATTACACAGAAACCTCAAAACTAAATATATTGGGCCAAAACTATGGAACAGTTTACATGTCTGTATAAAAATGTCATCCACAGTTGATGTTTTTAAGTTTAATTTAAACACATATCTATATTCCCAGAGTTTTAAGCCCTCTTAAATGTTTTTTTTTATTCTTAGCTACCTGTTCAGGTAAACTCATACTGTGATTTTATTTACTATTATATTTGTTACATATTTTGATGTGTTCATTTCAAATTGTACAGCACTTTGGTTGGCTCTTGTAGTCTTTTAAATGCGCTTTAAAAATAAAGTTGACTTGACTAATATCATTTTTTTCAGTTTTCAGTGTGTCCATGCTTTGCTTTTATTAGAACTTCCATTCTTTTTGACAGACTTGCTTTCAGTTTTTCAAAGAAATCTCCAGGGAAATTTTTCCACACCTCCAAAGTTCACTCTTGAAGTTGGTTGCATTTTCTGCTTCTCACAATCCAAATAAGCACAAACACATTCAGTGACGTTGAGGTCTGGACTCTGAGGTGGTCACTTCATTGTTCTGAGAACTCCAGCAGCTTCTTTGATTGATTTGCCCATTTTTTGTTTTCTTGTTTGTTTCCTTCTCTCAGTAAGGTCTTCTTAACAGCTACACATCCTTTCAGACTCATTGTGTTGAGTTGTCTTCTCACAGTGGAAGGATGGACAGAAACACCTGTGGATTTTTTCAGATCTGAA